GAAAGAAAGAAAGAAAGAAAGAAAGAAAGAAAGAAAGAAAGAAAGAAAGAAAGAAAGAAAGAAAGAAAGAAAGAAAGAAAGAAAGAAAATACGCCCCCATGAGGTTAATGTCGCGTTATTTTTTTTTTCGAAATTCGCATTCCTTGTGTTTAGAATTGTGTACATTTACAATAAAGAACAGCGAGCAGCTGATGGACTGACGTCGGCTCCTCCACCCTCATGCTGAGTCGCTGTTGGACCTCTGGACTCACTGCTCTGATCCCACCTTACCCATGCCCATGTTCCCTCAGCCGTGCCTTTTTTGTAACATCCTGCTTGCATGAAGCCAACCGCTAAGCGTGCATGACTGTGAAGATCGGCTGCTCTGCTCCGYCGCAGCCCGAGGCTGCGCCTCGGACGCAAACGGCGCCGAGCACCAAGCCACGCTTACGTCAGGGACCCGAATTAGCTGARATGAATGCGAGAACAACTTGCTAGGGTAAAGGATGCGTTCTTAGCGCAACCACACCCCCAACGCATGGAAGAGAACGGATAGAGCTCATGGGGCGGTAGAGGGGGTGAGGTTGTTTCAGCACCATGGACAGAGAAATAAGACGGATCAGTTTCAGCCTCTTTGATGGCCTTCTTTTTAAATATTGTCTATAGAAAAAAATATTCATTTTATCTCAAAGTTTAATCATAAACTTAAGAAAAATATATAATGTGATTATTGTTTAGTCCTAAACGCCACCATTACTGATCTAATTGCATGTTTTTACTTATTTAGGTGAAAGTTTCAAGTTAACTAAACAAATTTTGAAATCATATCCACTTTACGCAATGATATTTGCAGATTTACAGGGACACAAACCAAACTTGTGTCCAACGCTGGGATTCCCACCCTCCTCCTCCTCCCCACCCTGAGCCTGAGCAGATCTGCTGGAGCAGGGAGGTTAAGTGTCCTGCTCGGGGACAGTTATGAGTCGACTGAGGGGTCTCTAACGAGCGAATTGAAAAAAAAAAAAAAAAAAGACAGTCCCACCCACATTTTCACACTTTTCTATCCAACCAAGCTCTAAAGTCTCACACTGGATGTTTCAGCGAGCACAAATAAAACACATTAAAAAGGAGACCCCCGTTTTTTTCGTGAGAAACATGAATTCTTGATTCTCCTTTAAATTTCCTCCGTGCCTGGATCTGCCACGTCCATCAGCAGCAGGAGCATCAGCAGCGGCGGCGGCTGTTCTGGTCTCTTGATGTTGTGGTCGGGAATACGCATGCGCCCGGTATCGGAATTACTGCGCTGGCAAGAATAACTTAGACCTCGTCCGCCTTCCCTCCCCTAAAAAAAGAAACGAAAGGTTTACAACCGTTAAAGAATGTTTGCGTCAAGAATAAGAAGAATGAAGACTGCGTGCGTCTGTTTTTTCCCCTTCATAGTGGCTGTGGCGCGCGCTCAGAGGTAAGTGAAAGGGTCGAAGGATGCTTCACTTGTTTGTGCAACTGTGTCACAGACTGCATGTTACCTGACACGTAAAGTGCAATATTTATTTATTGCTTACATAGTGTCCTCCTTTGTCTCTTCTTCTTTTTTTTTTTTTTAATAATATAGTGCCGGTGCCAATGACCCAAGCAATATGCCTTTAGTCAAAGAAACGGTGGATAGACTCTTGAAGGGGTATGATATACGACTGAGGCCAGATTTTGGAGGTAAATAAACTCGTGATTTTGCCACTCTATTCCAGTTTCAGCAGGTATTAACACGACGTTTAATTTAACGAAGTCATATCACAACTTGATTAAGAAATTYAGGAAGTGTCGGAGGGAGATAACAGCCTAATTATCGCATCTCGAAGTCGCTTTAATTTGGAATCATTTGGCGTGTAAATAGATAGGATGATGATTTTAATGATATATTAAAAATAATCTATTTTATATGAATGGGAAATGTTTTAACAGATAAATATGATGTKAAACAAATGGATTAATTTGATTTAAAGTTTAACTTTTAAACGGGTGGGTGTGAGACTTTAGTGCATCTAATCCCTCCCGAAATGAGAACAGAGAGCTCATTATTTCGCAGTTAAAAGCTAAACTTACAAATAATAAATCTGTGTTCCCATCACACACATATGATGATTTTTTTCCCTTATTTTTTTTACCTCTTAATATATGTATATAAATTAAAAAAAATGTCAGCAAGTCCCTTGGGCTGCACATGACCTACGTCTCTGTTTCCTCACGGTTCTTCTGAATCTGTCCCAGGTGCTCCTGTGGGAGTGGGAATGAACATAGACATATCCAGCATAGACATGGTTTCAGAAGTCAATATGGTAAGTAGGCCACTGTTATCTCGACTTTTTTTTCTTTTTTTCGTGACTGATGCTTATTCCTCAGAAATGATCAATGCTATGTGCGTAACAGCCCCACCCCCCATCGGAAAATACCCCCACAAAACCAGCAGGGGAAACCCTCTTATGTGCAGAGCTGTGAAGATGTATTTAAAATATACAGCATCAAAATGAGTTTGAGTGCATTAGGGCTAATGCCATGGTTCCACCCACACATTTATTTTATTTTATTTTATTTTTTTTGTAATTTTAAAACACACTGATGAAGATGATTGATTCATTTTAGGTTGTATGCTGTTCAATATGTGATTCAGAGAGCCTTATGCCTAAACATGCCAAGTATGACAAATTTATCAAATTGATGTAATTAAAGAAACTACATCTCATTATCTGTTTACATGTCTGATGGATAAAACTTTATTTTATCAGGATTCCCTATGTCTTCACTGATCATCTGAAGTATTTGTCAGATGTGTTCAGAGCTTTGCCAAAAACAGTGACGGTGGAGCTGTGGTTATGAGAAGTAAAGACTCATACAAGTGTGCCTCTTAGTGATGAAACTGTAGTATTGCAACTAGTTTTTTTT